TGTCACTTTAGTTTGAGCGTGACAAATCGTTGAAGTAAATATATCTTTACTTTGCTTTTTACTAGCTCTATCCAAATCCTCGTCTGCTAATTGGCAATTAAATATTAGGCTTAAATTGCTATTACATTTTCTAGTATTGAAAGTCAGGCTTTTCCCCTTTTAGGCGGATTTCTATTTGTCTCGTTCCACTCCAAAACCCTTGAGCTGTCAGTGTCATCATGATAAATAAGCAGTACGCAGTACAGGTGGCCCTAAATATTTTGTGTTGCTTGAACAAAAAACAACAACACATTAATGTAAGTGTGATAAATATATATATATAGAGAAGATTGCTTGTAACGGAGAAAGCCTAGTTTTATTATAGTATATATGTACATGCCTTTCTATTTTATTACATTTAATTGTAATGTATGTGTGAAATATTAGTTCAGTGTATTAGATGTATAAATGTTTTGCACAATTCTAATTGTGTATTTTCATGTTCAAATGAAAACAAAGTACTGCAGAAATGATTCTCGCATAAAAGAGCAGAATTTGGCTAGCAAATAATTATGAATTGTACATTTAATGGTGAAAATTGTTAATTATGCTGTACATAAATATATTCTTGCGGCGTTCTTGAAACTAATCTACTGTAGTGTACTATAGTGTTGGAAAAGTCAGGCCTATGCCCCTGGTATTTCTTAACTTAATCATGTTTTTAAGATTTGTGAAATTACTCTGTCGCATACATTACACACATAGCCGTTTTCTGAAAAACAAAATTTTAGGTATTAAGGAAAAATTGGATTTGTATTTTAGTCTTTTCATTTACTATTATAAATGATGGTAGACTAAAAATTGAAAAAGGACCATTAGGCACTGATTGAAGTGTCCATGATAAGAAAATGTACTGGTTATGAAAATTTAGGTACATACGTGGTAGAGTAAGACGCACAGATACTTACAGCAAATATTGGACAAATATTAAGGTATGCAAATTAGACAACGCCAGACGAATGAAATGGTAATGAAAAGTGACACGTCTTATTTGTTTTTAATTATTTGGTGTACACTGAGTGGGCACAAGTAAATAGACACCTATTTTTTCGTCATTTAACTGATTTATGCTAACTAATTTGTGTTCACAGAGCACTATATGAATGAAAATGGTCCGCACACTAATTATCTTGTGCTAAAACATTTCTAGAACTCAAGGTTGTCAGATTTTGTTAGAGGAAGGATAGTTGGTCAAGCAGATGGCGGAATAAGTCAGCGGCAAATTTCGCAGAATT